ATGTAATCGGGCAGATGATTTTCCTTAAGCCAATCAGTTTTTCGTTACCAATCAGAAGTTTCTTTGTTGTGCAAATTATAAAAATTAATGTAAGTTTTTGTTCCAGGTTTATTTCTCAGAAGGGAATCATTGTTAATTGAAATGTTTCAAATAAATCGTAAATTAAATTTTTTAAAAGTGGAAACTTAAATGACAAACCTCCACAGGTCTGAAAATGACATTTAGTGCTGCTTATGTAGAATGTGGTTTGTGTGCATATGTTAAGGTTGAGTTATTTTAAAGGCATGGAGGGTGGGACACCTTCTAACAATAAACAAAAAGACCTTATTCAAAAAGATTTTGGAAAGTGGAGCTCATTGGCTTATCAAAATTCCCTGAAATAATAATAATGCAGTAATAATAATTATTCTGCCTGAAGAAAGCATGGAGTGAAATTTGTTTGTGGAATTGTTTATGCAAGCAGTTGAGTGGTTGTACAATGGAGGAAAAATGTGCCAGTATGCTGATGTTAAATTAAGTTAGTGTGAATGTGTACATATGTTGGAGAGAGAGAGGGAGAGAGGGAGGGAGAGATATATTATCAGATTTTCCTTTATGAAATTCTACTATATATTTCACTAATACATGGTCAAGGCACCTGTATCCCTTGTGCAGGGTACATCTTCATAGTATGTCCTACACAAATGAATCTTTTTTCCAGTTTGACATATAATATCTAGTGTGTGAGAATCTTTTATTACATAATAATTTTTTAATTTATATTAAATTAGATTGTATGGAAATTAAAAATTGTAAAGAAGACTATACTATCACAATTTTCAATAGAAGAAAAAAAAAAGAAAATACCATCATCTCCACCCTTGAATTTTGACTCATAGTTTCTTCTAACAATCTTCTACATATTTAAGTATTATTATTGATCAAAATGGTCTCTTGTTTCCTTTCTGCTGAATTCCAGTGGTCAAAAGAATATGGTCCCATTTTTCGCATCAAATTGGGATTCCAGGAGATGGTGGTACTGACTGGCTATGAGACGGTTGTAGAGGCTTTAGTGAACCAGGGAGATGTATTTGCAGAGAGAGCCTTTGTCCCCTTTTTTGAGGATGTTGCAAAGGGCTTTGGTGAGTTGTTTCATTTTGGATTGTAGCTGGCATTCGATACGCAATCACTGCCATAGAAGCATTTTCATAGGTAGTAACACAAAAGGTTTAGGAAGCTTGTGGAAATCCAATCCAGAATGTGACCCAGATAAAATCTTTCTTTAACCAGTTTGACTACATCTAGTCATTACGAGGGGAAGCTAGAGAATAAAAAGACAAGACAGCCTTACAATCAAAACAAATCCACAACATGTTTGGTTCTGTTTGTTTTGCAGATTTAGGGTGTGGAAGGTCCTGGCATTTTGTATGCATTTTTCAGTATCTGTATCCTCAGATACATATTTTTTCTGCTGTAGAGAACCAGGCTGATGCATTTGCAGGGAGACCTACCACCCCCCCTTTTTTGAAGAAGCAACAAAAGGATTTTGTGAGTTATTTCATTATGTATCATTGTCAACAATCCTTTATGATCAGTATCATGAGGAAATATTCCCCTAGCTTTTCACCAGCAAAACCTCAGGTGAGTGAGGCAGCTTTTGCAAACCCAAACAGGATGAAAATCCAACTGAAATCTTTCTTTTTTTAATAAAAGTTTTTTATTTTTATTTTTTACACATCTCTTCACATGAACAACATGATTCCAAACATTTATACATAACCATAATTACATTTCCAATATCACATCAAGTCATTATCCATTCCATAATCTTTAAATATTTTTTCATTACATATTTCAATTCATTAATTCAATATCAAAATTATTTCATCTTCATATATACTTTCAGTTCTTTATCCCCTATTATTTCCATTTTCAGCTTACCACCTATTTTATTTTACATTATACATTGTTATCTTCATTAACTTTCTCAAGACCAATATATAATAAACAATCAAAAAAGAGTAAAAATAAAATAAAACTAATATATTTAGGATCCATGTGGTATATCCCCTAATCTACAATATATCTTATATTTATATAACCATTTCATATTTCTTCTTTATTTCCACTTAGCCAAAATTTACCTATGTAATTTTAATAAATTTTAATTTTCCTACTTTTAATCATGATATGACACTCTCATTATAAATACTTTACATTTCAATATAATCCCTTCTAATTTATCATATTTTCTATTTCCTCATATCCTTTATATAATCAATTACATTTTCTATTTCCTGTGTACACCAAACAAAGAAAAGAAAAACAGAAGATTAAATTTGCCTTTTTGCTTCCCTTTAGCCAATTTTAACCTATAGAGTTTATATAATTCACCATTTTTAATCATAATACCATATTTTCCCCCAGTTTGTCATATTCTCTGTTTTTCTAATATCATTTAGATAACCAATTGCATATTTTAGAATATATATGTTTGTAGCTTTAAGGAAAAATACTGTAATGTATTACCTTCATCATTCGATGAATCCAAAGTTGTTACATCCCGTGGATTATTCACTACAGTCCATAATCCTTCTTTAGGCAGAAGTAGGCTGCACTTGATAGACCAGGAAACATAGTTTGTTCCATCCAACCGGGTTATCAGGGATAGACTGGTTGACTGTTCTTGTGCTATTGTAACAATAAACCACAATTAGCTGTCTGAATATGAAACTGTATATTCACACTGGTTCTCAATATCTCACTGTGCCCATAACCAATGTTAGGATATGTGCAGAGTAACCCTTGTATAAAAAGGATATGCACACGGAAAACGGTTTATGAGAACAGTTATGAAGAAATATACAGCCACACAGAGTTGAACAAGTTGTATTAATGTTTATTTGAAGAAATAGCACAGTCCAATAAACAGTCCATGTCATACCCATTTTTAACAGTCCAGAAATATCCAGTTATAAAGTCTTCTTACATCTAGTTATAAAGTCTTCTTACCGGTTCCATGTCTTTTACAGCAGACAAATATCAAACCAAAGTACAACAAATAACCTTTGATATCAACAGAATATCAAAGTAAACAGGGTTAGTCAGTATTGGTCCGTAGTCAGTCAGTATCAGTATCAAGAGAGATCATCAATGAAAAAGAGAAAAAGAAAGAGAATTAAACCATGATTTATAGCTCCCTCTTATGGCAACTTGTAGCATAATTAACCAACCAGAACACAACATAATACATTACAGTATTTTTCCTTAAAGCAACAAACATATATACAGTATTTGTAGTTCCGGTTTGTCAGGCTTCGGAGGCAGCAGGAATTCGTGTTTGTGCGCGATCCCTGCTGCGCTCGCTGCTGGAGTGCCTTCGATCCAATTGGATTGGGAGGCTATAGTTATCCTGTAGGGATAACTGAAGAGAGGGGAAATCCGGGCAGGGGTCGGGGGATATCGCACCCCCCTTCCCCAGCTGGCTTAACTCCCTTTTCCAAAGGTGGTGGAGCGGCGGTCAGCAATGGCCGTCACAAAGAACCTCTCAGCCGGACAAGTTTTGTGCAGGAGGAAGTGAAGAAAGAGAAGGCTTTTGGCTGAACCGGGACAACAATTAACATCTGAATACCCTGGAACTTTGGCTCCTTAAGTGATATATTGTTTCCCAGAAGATCGTTAAGCTGCGGTGGAAAGTAAAGGGAAAGTTTTTTGTTTTTTTCTCCTCACTTCCCCACGGAGACAGCAGATGGAAATCGGAAATACCCGCTTTGGCAGCAGAAGGTACTAACTTTGAAAATTAAAGCCAAGGGGACATTAGATTTCTAAACACTGACATTTAAAAATTAAAATCTTTTAGCTTTAAGTGGGAAGGAAGAGAGGTAAATGATTTATACTAACGTTTGTTGAAGGAGATTGCTTGGAGTTTTATAAGATCAGAGATTAAATTGCAATAAAACTTCCAAAAAATACCTTGGAATTGTGTAATTGAATGCTACCCCAGGAAGAGAAAGTAGAAGAAAGTGCTAAATGAAACAGACTGTGCTGATTGTGCTGACTTTGATTGCTTGATGACTTTGGGACTTTTGTGAACTATCTTTTGAAAGACTAAGAAAACATTTGGATTGTTTAAAATTTTTTTAGAATGGTATCTGTTGAAGAACTGAAAATGCAATTTGAAAAATTAAGAGAAGAAGAAGAAGAAGGCAAGGGCTCCTTTGGATCTATCCTTTGCTTCTTAGAAATGGCGATTTCTACTTATCAGGAAATGCAACAAGAAAAAGGCTGGGATGATGAAGAAGAAGCCATTTTTAATGGACATATGATTTTAAATGAGAAAGAAAAGGGTAAAAAGGAAAAGAAAATGGAGAATTTAAGTTCTAAAAAAACAACCAAGAAAGGGAAAAATAAGGTGAAAAATCGATATAATGTCAGAAAGCAACAGAAGAGAGGAATACAACAGAGAGGGGAGACTAAAAGGCTGGAGATTGAGAGAGGGGGGAGGTAAAAAGGCTAGATTTGACAAGGAAGGAAGGAGAAAAGTGAAGGGAAGTTATAAAGGCTTAAAACAAGATGCTAATAAACAGGTTTTTTTCAGAGATAAAGGGTAAAACATAATCTAAAAAGAGATTCTGCAAAAGTACACAAGATTGTATTGTAGTATTTGTATTTGAAATATGGGTTAATAGAATATTGTAGGGAATGTGTAAAATGCCTAAGATTTAATTAATAGAGCTTAATTAATTATTTTTAATATACTATAAGATCATTATGTTTTATATTTTAAAATGTTATGTAGAATGTACTAAGCAGAATCAGAATAGAAACTATGTATTATTTTAAGTGTTAAATTTGGGGGGGAAATAGAAAGGTGTCATACTTCAACCAGTGATTACAGGAAAAAATTTGTGGTAAAGAGAAAAGATAAATAGATAATTGAAAAAGAACGGACAAAAGATACAAGTATAATGATTTAAATTGAGATTAAATAAATAAAATAGAATTAAGAGAGTGAAAAGAGAAGATATGAAATAGTATATAAGGTGAGCATGAATTTGATTTATGTCTGTACAAAAAGTTATAACCCGGGGTTAAGCCGCTTTCTAAAAAGAAGTTTTATGTTTTTATGTTATGTATTTTGTTTGCTTATGTTTGTTTATCGAGGATTAATGATGTTGGATAAGAACATATGAAATAGTAATAATATGAAATATAGTAATATGAAATACATGAAAGTATAAGTTTAATGAATAAAATTGAACAGAAATAAAGGAAGAAACAGTGAGAAGTTGGAAAAGAGTAATGTACTTAAATGAGATGTTTTATTTGTTTTGTTAAGCAGTTTTTAGAAAAGATGTTTTATGTTCTTATGTTTTATGTTTTGTTTGTCTGTGTATTGTCTTTGAAAATTAATAAAATTTGTTATTAAAAAAAAAGTATTTGTAGTTTATATATTGTCAACTCAACTACGTTATTTACATTTACATAATACATATTCATTAATTATTTCCCCTTTTAAATCCCATTATTATTAGGAAACACACCAAGATAACTACCATTAATACAAACAGAATTATTAATGAAATCCTAATATTTACTGCAAGTTTTTGGACAGAGAGTATGAAATGCTTGATTAAATTGATGGAGCATGGCTTATTGAAGCTGTGAATAAGAATAAACTGAAAAGAATTTTAAAATTATATTTCACAATCTAGCCCCTTTTCTTTTCAGGTCTTGTTTTTGCTCATGGTGAGAACTGGAAAGTGATGCGACGCTTTGTATTATCCACTTTACGGATGTACGGAATGGGCAAAAGGATCATCGAAGACAAAATCACAGAAGAGTGCAGTATGTTAATAAAAACAATTGAGACTTATGCAGGTGGGTTGGGATTTCCTCTTAATCTCTACTGGAGCATAATTGTTTCCTCCCTAAAAATTGTCCAGTTTTTGCTAAGTATATTTACAGAAATGTGTCTTATGGATGGCAAAATGGTTCCAGAGGACCTGAATAGTTAATTCAGTATAATACAACAATCTTTCATAAATAACATTTACTCTTCTGTACAGACTCCTCTAGATCCTTTATTTACAGCAGGTTGCAAGTCCTTCATCTGAGCAGGAAAATGTGCTGTAAATTGGAGTTAATTCTCCTTTCTGCTTTGGGTCATGTATAACCTAATGGCAGTTTTTCAAAGAACAGAAAGATATAATCTAAATTTATTAAGTGATCTGGAGAAAATATATTTACCCATGTTCTCCAACAGAAGTATTATCTTTGAATTATCAGTATGTAAACACCCCCCCCCCTTATTTTTGGCATTGTCATAAAGATCAAGATGCAGGCGGTGTACCTACTCAGCAGCACACTTCACAAGTAACTAATATAGAAGGAATCTCGTATTTTCCAAAATAATAGTTGTTAAAGCCCTACAATGTCAAATGTGCCTAGCACACTGCATCTGGGTTGCAAAGACCTGGATAATTATGGGATTGCAGAAGGATATACAAAGTTCTCATCATTTGCATTTTTGCAACCCAGAAATGATATGGATAAAATTGTCTTCAGGAAAAAGAAATAAGAGGGATATGTGATATAAAAATAACAGAGAAAACTAAAAGTTCTTTGTCTAATTGCCAAATGAGTTTCCATTTGTGTAGCATACCTACATATCTATAAACTCAGTGTTGCAATAAAGGAAGGCATGAGATCATAAAAATGCAATATCTAGTTTTTGAAGCATTACATATGAATCAAAGTCTATATAGGTATTTGCCTTCCAGGGTTTAAATTCTAGTCTTTCCCTTTTAACATTCTGAGTAAATAGTATTTTGGCTGTTCTATTTTCAAATTTAAGATTGGGAAGTGGCTGCAGTGTCATTTTATTCATTCTGTCCTGCCTTTTGGCAATTATTGGTTACATACAACCATAAGTATTTTTATTGAGATCTATTATAATTTCCTCCCATATAACATATCTCCTTTTCTTTCCTTCATCTTATGAAGCTCAGTAGCTGTTTGATTTTTAAAACTGCAATCATTTAATGAGGAAGCATAACAATAACTTTGCCAAGTATTTTATTCTCAAAGAGTTCAAAGAAATCATTATTGATGTATGGTAAGATACTGCAATTTTTCCTCTGGGACAATGAATTACCCTTTAAATACTTTTGCATATTTTTAATCTAAATAGTTCCAATGTCATCAGCTCTAGTTATGGCCTTCTATAATAAATGCTCCCTTTATGTAAGCTGATTTTGAGTATAAATGCAGTAAAACACATATTTAATCGTGGTTTTTCTTTTTGATCTATTGTTTTTTCCTAGGAAAACCCTTTGATATCACAACAATTCTCACTGCTGCTGTTTCCAACATCATAGCTTCTATCGTACTTGGGAAACGCTATGAATATAAAGATAACCAATTTCAACGACTGCTGAAGAAGAACAGTGAAAATTTTCGGCTTTCAGGAAGCCCTGCTATATTGGTAATCTATTTTTTTTTATTTTAAAAAATGTTATGAAAAACAGACAGCACAATGACTTAGATGAGTGAATAGAAAGGGGATTCATCAAATTTGTAGGTGACACTAAGCTGGCAGGAGTAGCCAACACCCCAGAGGACAAGTTAAGGATCCAAAAAGATCTTGACACAGTTGAACAATGGGTTGTAACATAAAATTTAATGTGGAGAAAAGCAAAGTTTTACACCTAGGCAGGAAAAACCAAAGGTACAAGTAAGATTAGGTGAAACCTGACTCAGAAATGTTAACTGTGAGAGGGATCTTGGAGTCCTAGTGGACAATCACTTAAATATGAGCCAGCAATGTGTGGCAGCAGCCAAAAAAGTGAATACAATTCTTGGTTGCATAAACAAAGGCACAGAATCAAAATCAAATAAAGTATTAGTACCACTTGTTAAACCTTAGTAAGACCACACCTGGAATACTGCATTCAGTTTTGGTCATTACATTACAAAAAAAAGTTGCTGAGACTTTGGAAAAAGTACAAAGAAGAGCAACTAACATGATTAAGACCTGAAGAGAAAAACATATGGAGAACGGTTGCAAGAATTGGTTATGGCTAGTCTAGAGAAAAAAAGTAATAGGGGGTGACATGATAGCAGTATTTGAGCAGTTGGCAAAAAGAAAAGGGGGGGTCAACTTATTTTCCAAAGCATCTGAAGGCAAGACAAGAAACGATGGATGGAAATTAATTAAGGAGCGAAGGAATCTGGAATTAAGGGGAAACTTTCCAACAGTGAGAACAATTGGCCAGTGGAACAGCTTGCCTTCAGAAGTTGTAGGTGCTTCATTACAGGAGGTTTTTAAGATGACAGCCACTTTTCTGAAATGGTATAAAGTGTTGAGGTAATTCCCCGTTAGAAAAATGAGCGCATACAGGGAGACGTATTGAGAGTAGTGTTTGAATAATACACACACAGCACATAGATACACTGTACAGTAAATGTAGGTTTTTACTTTCCATAAAGGTTTAAGCAAAGTTCAAAATAAGCAGTCCAAAGTCATTCACAGATAAGATCAGTCCAGGGATAATCCAATAACAAAGTCCAGTGTCAAAAACAGTTCAGTATCAGACTTATATCAAATCCAGGAATATCAGTCAATTAGGAGGAACGGCAAAAACTCTCCAACAGAAGGAAACAGAGACTCACTGAGACTTCTTCTGAGACTAAGACAGGTTTCTGGCTCCATCTTATGGCCGTTTGAGAAACCACACCCAATTACAATTTTTTGCATTCTTAAAGAGACAGTATTAAAATGTCTATCCTGGTTTATATATTTCCAACCCAAATAGCTGTTAGGTGACTTACATTCCTAACATAAAGTCTCTTGCCTGAGCAGGGGGTTGGACTAGATGACCTCCAAAATTTCTTCTAGCTCTATTCTGATTGATTGATTGATTCTCAAGCTTTATTGAGAAGCAAAAGCATGTTGCTTCTCCTGTGTATCTATAGCAAGATGATGATATTGGAATTCCAATCCTAACCTCATGTAGTTTCATGCAAGTCTGGAAAATCCTTTTTAACATCATAAATCTCATGATTTCCTCTCCCTTCCTTGCAAAGATTTGTGAAAAGCAAGAGCCTCCATTGCAAATATCTTTCCATCTTTCCTTTTCTTTATACAGTACTTTACGCATGTACTAAACTGCTCCCTTGACTAGGACTTTTATTTTTATTTATTTATTTATTTAGTTTTGTCAATTGCTTACAAGATAATAGGTATAAGTAAAAACACAGTTATGAATACATGGATACATATAAGAAAAATTAAAAATAAAAGAAACAATAGGACAGGGACGGTAGGCAAATTGGTGCGCTTATGAACACCCCCTGCAGACCTCTTAGGAAAGGGGTGAGGTCAATAGTAGAAAGTCTAAGGTTAAAGTTTTTGGAGTTTGGGGAAGAAACCACAGAGTCAGGTAGAGTATTCCAGACATTGACCACTCTGTTGCTGAAGTCGTATTTCCTGCAATCAAGTTTGGTGCAATTAACCTTGAATTTGTATCTATTGTTTGCTCTTGTGTTGTTATGGTTGAAGCTGAAATATTCATTGACAGGTAGGACATTGCAATGTATGATTTTATATACTATACTTAGATCGGATCGAAGGTGACGTAGTTCTAGATTTTCTAGGTCTAGAATTTCGAGTCTGATGGCATAAGGTATTCTGCAACGAGTAGAGGAGTGGAGAACACATCGCTTGTTTGGAAATCAGTAAAATGTGACCACAGGAACTCATTCAATAATATAGTAGAAAACAAGCACACCCTCTTCCAAAAGAGTGTGGAGGTTTAGGCCATAGAATTGGGGCTTAGTGAATTGGCAATATTGACTATCCAAAGCTCATTCAGTCATGTGATCTTGCTTATTATTGGGTGTTCTTTTTTTTTAATAAAAGTTTTATTTAAGTTTTCACAAAACATACAAATACAAATAAAATATCTTTTTTTGAGAACAGCGTGGCCCCGGGTTATCACTTCTCCATTCAGACATAAACTCAATAATATTTATCTTATACATTCTAATCTATATCTTATAACTATTTTTACAATTTTTTCAAAATTTCCTGTCTTTACTTCCTATAGCCTTATTTTAAATTACCTCATTCCTTTCTTAATTCAATTACATATCTTTTTCTAATTTTTAAAATCTTTCTAATCAATGTTTTTATACTTTTGTCTGTCCTGTTTACAATTTCATATTATCTTTTCTCATAAAACAAATTTTCCCCTGTAATTACTAGACTGGAGTGTAACACCTTTGTATCTTTTTTCAAATCTTATTTAAAAATTTAAGTTACATCCTTACAGTTATAACATTCATTTTCTAACCTCTATTTTATAACACTAACCTCTATTTTCAATCGAATTCTGCTTGGTACATTCCCTTAAAATACACACTGAATTCTTAAAAGAAAAAGGTATATATGTATATATATCTGTGTATATATGTATAACAATAGTAAATGGAATAATTATTCTATTCAAGTACAGCTCTGCCATTAATATTAATAACAATCTTTTACACTTCTATTTGTTTTAACAAACATTACCTAGTAATATCAGTTGTCTTTCACTTTAATCATCTATATTTCATGTTTTATTTATTATTGTCTTTAAATAAAAAATCAAACAATAGCTATTAACAGTAGTCAATAAAGTTATTATTATTATTCAAGTTCACCTTATCATAAAAATCTTCCATGTTTCTTTTCAGGTTTTTTTTAAACGTTCTTTTTAAATCATTGAGAGCCATATTCTCTTTACAAACAAATATTCCATTACACATCAATAGAAATTTTTTCTATCACTTTAATCATCTAACATATTATATAACAATGCTATCCCATGCATCTTTGCAGAATCCTCTCCTTAAGTTAAATTTTAACCATTGTCTCTGTGTCTTTTAAATAGGTTTATACCTTTAATTCTTGTACATTTTTCCTGTACCTCTATATCTTGTTTCTGTCTTTTGTAGCTTCTTTTCCTTTCCCTCCTCCCTCTCTTCTTCTCCCTCCCCTTTTTATTCCCTTTTCTATCTGATTCTCCCTTCTGTGATCCTCCCTTTTGCTTCTTCCTGATATTATGATTACTTTTCAAATTACTTTTTTTTTGGTTGTTGCTTCAGTACTTAAGTTTTTAACTCCCTTTCCCCCCCTTTCCCTTTTTTACCCCACTTAAAATTACTTGGTCATTGAAGATTGCTTCTTCATTGTCCCGCCCTTCTTGTTCTGCCAGCATTTCTTGTTGTTTTTCATAGTTCAAGATCTCCATTTCTAAAAATTGAAATACGAAGCCAAAAGATCCTCTTCCGTCTTGTGCTTCTTCTTTTTGTTCTTTAAGTCTCATTTTTAACTCTTCAAGGAGTGATGCCAATTTAAAAAAATTTAAACAACCCCCAGTAGATTTTATTTTATTTCATTAGGATCCTCTATCCAAAGTTCCAGGAATCATCCAATAATCCAAAACTGTTTCTTGCTTCTTTTCTCACTTTCTCTTTCCAGGGGCTTTGTTCTCTTGTAACAAAGTTTCAGCTACAATGTATCTTTTGCAAGCCTTGTTAAAATTCCACTATCAATTTTTTTTAAGTTCCAGGTGGTCTCCTCCATTTTCCAGATTCCACCCTCTTTTTTCCTTTTTCCCTCTGCTGCTTTCTTTCTTTCTTTTTTTTTAAAGAAAGTTTTTAAATTATCCAAGAATCTTTATCCCTTTGACACTTTATTTTCAGCTAGAAGTAGCCTATTAATGTCAAAGTGGATTAGTATCAATTTCTTATTCAAATCTCTTCTTCTTTATGTTCCAAGTCAGTGAAAACTGTCGATGTTAGAGGAAAAAAAGCCAATTCCGTTTCCTTTCCCTTTCTCTTTTTCAGCTTAAAATCTTTTTTAGGAATAGTATTAGTCTTTAAAATTCAGGTTCCAGGTACCTTAAATAGATGTTCTCCATTCAACCCGGTCAGTCAAACTTTTTTCTTTAAACTTCCTCCTGCACAATCTTGTCCGGTCGGGTTCTTCTTTGAGATGGCCATTTCTGACCACCGCTGCAACCGCCTTTGGGAAAGGAAGTAATGGCAGCTGAGGAGGAGAGATGCAGCTCTCCTCAACCCCGCTGATGGCTCCCCCTTCTTCATCACCTCTACGGGGTGGCTTCAGCCCGAATCTGGGCGGCTCGGGGCGCTCCAGCGGTGAGCACGGATCAAAACCGCGGATGATCGCGATTTCGGTCCGTCACCGAAGAAGCCCAAACCGGAAGTCTGGGTATTCTTTTTTTGTAGACTTGGGGAACATCAACATGTTTAAGATGTCCACCTGAGAAATTCTAAGTATTCCATAATATGTGTTTTCTTCTATCATTCTTTCAGCTATACAATATGTTTCCCAAGTTGTGGTTCCTTTTGCTCACTCCTACATTAATGATAAAGAATCAAAGTGAGATCCATGATTTCATGCAGACAATCTTGATGGAATATTCCCAAGACCTTGATGAAAATGACCAGAGGAATTTGATCGAATCATTTCTTGTTCGGCAAAGAGAGGTAATGATATATATATATATAAAGGCAAAAGACCACTCAAGCATCATCACAAAATCTCCAGAACCGTAAAGCCTACAAACTTGAAATTTGGCACATATGTTCCTCTTGGCTTCTAGGTGCTCACTAAGAAAGGATTTTTCGAAATGACCATCACAGAATTAGTATCTTGTATATTATTATTAACACGCTCTGATCAGTGGTGGGATTCAAATTTTTTTACTACCGGTTCTGTGGGTGTGGCTTATTTGGTGGGCATAGCTTGATGGTCATGTGATTGGGTGGGTGTGGCTTGGTGGTCATGTGACTGGATGGGCGTGGTCAACTCAATGTCACTCACATCAAAGGATGCCTTGCCTGGCCCCTCCCCTCTCAGCCATTCCTTGTCACACCCAGCCTCAAAGTATCTATAGTTCTGTAAAAACGTTGTTCACCTGTTTTGACCTTATTATCTACGTACTACAGATGTATTTTCATGGACCACTGGAAGGAGGAAATGGCTCACATACTTCTTTATTTATTATTACTATTCCCTTCAATACAAAACATCACATACTAGGAAGAGCATATTAAGCTGGACTTATGCAACCTGATGTACAAAATAAACAAACATATTTATGCTCTGGACTAGACATTGAATGCATATAAATCCCTGAAAAATATGTGGTAGCCCTGGGCAAAAAAAGGCAGTAAAATCACTCTAGATGTAGGGACAGTGTAAAATATTAATACATGATAAATAATGGAACAATTAAAAATAATAGCACAGAGTTTTCTCTCTTTCTCTACCTTCCTATTTCTGTTTCTTTTGTTTCTCTCTCTCTCTCTCTCTCTCTCTCTCTCTCTCTCTCTCTCTCTCTCTCTCTCTCTC